TTTGTTTCCAGGTTGGCAGACTGGGTCACAGGCTATCTTGATACCTCTCATCTGTACCACATCGGGTCATATAAGTTGTTTACTTAAAAGGTGATCATGGACAGGGGTCTGCTTCTGAGAAGGTGTAGTCAAGTCTTTGGGCTTTGATTTCTCCCCTGCTGGAGGCCTGGGCCCTCGACCTTTTTTCAGTTCTACTGTGATTCTCTCTGGTGGGTTCCCAGTGGCGGTCAGGTGTCGTGCTTGCCTCATCTCATAATCGGCGAAGTGAGCGCGAGCACTTTTGGTACAGTGCCAAGGGCTTTGGGGTGGTCAGGAATGGGGGGGCAGGGATTACCTGAGGGGAGTTACCATGTTCAAGGGGGCATCTCAGCCATCTGGACAGCTGGACAGACCGTCAGATGGACAGATGTGAGGCATCACATCTAAGAGACCTCACTTGGTTGGTGGATTGTCTGCTGTCTTTTCGCTGGGAGAACAGCTTCACAAGAGGCTTTGAGGATAGAAGCCTGGCTTGAATGGCTCTGTAGCCTGGTCCTGCCTGGAGCACAGACGGACGTTGATCCAGACCATCTTTGATCAGACAAAGCTTGTTCAGTGCTTACTGACTAGTTATTGAGAGGAAGGTTGTGATTTCTGGGACCCAGACCCGAGTCTGCTTTGCTAGAGCAAGTGTACACCGTGCGCGTGCGTGTGCACACACACACATAGCTGTAGACTTTGAGGTCTTTTGTCGTTTCTGTGGTGTACCATCCTCTCCTTACTCCCCGAGTGTCTTTTAATCTGGGGTCTGTTCTTTCATCCTCACATCCTCCCAGGTTACCCTTCCTCACCTGGGTTTCAGTAGGAAACGTGCTATTCTGTCTGTTCCATTATGTGGAGACGGGGCTGGAAGCCACGCTGAGCTGCCTGCTGCCTTCCTCAGGTCTGCCTGCCCAGGCTGCGTGGCACTGGCCCTCACTGGGGCCACCCAGAGTGCGCATGTGCACCGCTGGGCTCCGGGCCCTGAGCACCTTCCACCCCCTGCTCTGCAGGAACTCAGGGAGGAGGGGCTTCAGGCATGTCAGCCCTGGTCTGCAGGGCTTGGGGGATCCAGATGTGTGTGCTTGGACATACTGTCCTGAGGGCCATCAGGACACAGTGACAGTTGTTTTAGCACCAACTCCTCGGTGCAGGAGCCCTATCTGTTCTCTCCCTCCGAGCAGTTTCCAGTATTTCTGTGGCCGGGGAGCCTCTCTCTTTCTCTGCACCGTCCACCCTTAATCTCCCTCCGCACACTCGTCTTCTGCCCTGTCAGGCATTGGGCATCTGGCTGGAAGTAATACATGTATCTGCCCCTGCCTCCTCCTCACAGAAGGCGCTTAAAACTTTAGTTGTCTAGCTCTCCAGCATATTCCATGCATCTGTGTATCAGACAATAAGGCAGGTTAGAGATTTTTTTAAGGCAGACTCTGCCATCCTGGAGTTTAAAGACCCACAAGAATAATGCAGATTTTCACATTATAATGACTGTATTCATGTGTTCTGCCCTTCTGCCCCTGGTGAGGCCCTGAGGGTGTCTGCACAGGAGCGGTGCATTGTTGTAAGCTGGGCGAGGTTAGAGACCTGCTGAGTCCTCGGTGGACTGAAACCCTGGAAGCTTGGCCAGTGGTGATGGGGAATATGCACGAGGGGACGGAGGAGCCAGAAGGGAGGGTGGGGGGCCAGCCAGGCGGACTGCGGCTCCCCTTCGGTTGTCACTCTGCATTTTCACGGGGCTCTCCAAGCTGCCTCACTTGATCCTTGTGAGGACCTTGGCTGGGCACCAGAGCTAGGTGAGGCGAGACTTGTTTTGACAGTTTAGAGACGAAGAAGCGTGAGCTGTGTGCCCAGGGTAACGTGTCCAGCGTGTGGGAGAGCACATCTCACTTCGGAAACTCCCACACGATTTACTGAACGGCCGCGTTGACTCGTGAAGAGGCAGAGATCAGGCCCCTCCCCCTTCCCTTGGCCCCGAGGCTCCCACATTTCCCGTTGCAGCAGGGGACCTGTCTGCTCCGACTCAGAGGCTCGACCCCCGACTTGGTCTTCATTGCACATGATGCCGTTGCAGATCCACTGTCATCTGGCCTTCCTGCTTCTCAGTTTCAAGGACCAGAAGCTGTTGAAAACAAAGGGCCAAAGAAACCAGCCCCAGGAATGAGCACTCAGAGCGGGTGGGTGTGGAAGGTGTGTGCTCACATGTATGGGCTGGTGAGTAATGGGCTGGGGAGGAGCGCTGACAGCCTGCCAGGCTCCACACGGCTGCAGCTCCCGTCGAGGGGGCTCTGAGGGACCTTCCGGCGTGCCCTCCTCTCTCGGATCGCCACGTAGTAAATGAGATGATTCCCGCCGACTGCCCACGAGCCCGTCAATATCCATTCTAATCTCCCTGGCAGCCCCAGAAGTGAATTTACAGCGAGGTGGTAAAAATGAGGCTGCATGATCAATGGATCTCTGGGCGGCCTCTTCCAGGAGACTCCAACGTATATTGCAACAAAACTTTATTTTCTCCCGAAAATTGCCTACATGATTAATATGGCCCGACACAGGCCAAGCTGTTCAGCATAAAAAACAGCCGCATTTCCTTCGTCAGGGCTGCTTCGCTAACTGCGCTGCTTCCTCTGCTTGCCTTTGTCTGTGCTCTGCGAGGGGGGGGGCGGGGTGCGCGGCCAGCCAGGAGCTTCGGTTCCAGTCCTCTTTGTTTCCGCTGGGTGTTTCAGTGTGGCTCAGACCAAGTGTGAAACCGAAGTCCCGGTGTGGGGTGCTCCCGGGCTGAATCCCGGTGTGGGGTGCTCCCGGGCAGAATCCCAGTGTGGGGGTGCTCCCGGGCTGATTCCCGGTGTGGGGTGCTCCCGGGCTGATTCCTGGTGTGTGGGTGCTCCTGGGCTGATTCCCGGTGTGGGGTGCTCCCGGGCTGAATCCCGGTGTGGGGGTGCTCCCGGGCTGATTCCCGGTGTGGGGGTGCTCCCGGGCTGAATCCCGCTGTGGGGTGCTCCCGGGCTGATTCCGGTGTGGGGGTGCTCCCGGGCTGATTCCCGGTGTGGGGTGCTCCCGGGCTGAATCCCGGTGTGGGGGTGCTCCCGGGCTGATTCCCGGTGTGTGAGTGCTCCCGGGCTGATTCCCGGTGTGTGGGTGCTCCCGGTCTGAATCCCGGTGTGGGGGTGCTCCCGGTCTGAATCCCGGTGTGGGGGTGCTCCCGGGCTGAATCCCGGTGTGGGGTGCTCCCGGGCTGATTCCCGGTGTGTGGGTGCTCCCGGGCTGAATCCCGGTGTGGGGGTGCTCCCGGGCTGATTCCCGGTGTGTGGGTGCTCCCGGGCTGAATCCCGGTGTGGGGGTGCTCCCGGGCTGATTCCCGGTGTGTGGGTGCTCCCGGGCTGATTCCCGGTGTGGGGGTGCTCCCGGTCTGAATCCCGGTGTGGGGGTGCTCCCGGTCTGAATCCCGGTGTGGGGGTGCTCCCGGGCTGAATCCCGGTGTGGGGTGCTCCCGGGCTGATTCCCGGTGTGTGGGTGCTCCCGGGCTGAATCCCGGTGTGGGGGTGCTCCCGGGCTGAATCCCGGTGTGGGGGTGCTCCCGGGCTGATTCCCGGTGTGTGGGTGCTGATTCCCTGTGTGTGGGTGCTCCCGGGCTGAATCCCGGTGTGGGGGTGCTCCCGGGCTGAATCCCGGTGTGTGGGTGCTCCCGGGCTGATTCCTGGTGTGTGGGTGCTGATTCCCTGTGTGTGGGTGCTCCTGGGCTGAATCCCGGTGTGTGGGTGCTCCCGGGCTGAATCCCGGTGTGTGGGGTGCTCCCGGGCTGAATCCCGGTGTGGGGGTGCTCCCGGGCTGAATCCCGGTGTGGGGGGGTGCTCCCGGGCTGATTCTCGGTGTAGGGGTGCTCCCGGGCTGATTCCTGGTGTGTGGGTGCTGATTCCCTGTGTGGGGGTGCTCCCGGGCTGAATCCCGATGTAGGGGTGCTCCCGGGCTGATTCCTGGTGTGTGGGTGCTGATTCCCTGTGTGTGGGTGCTCCCGGGCTGATTCCCGGTGTGGCGGTGCTCCCGTGCCTGAGCCACGTGGAGCTCACTCTTTGGGTGTTCTACCATCTCTAATGTCACCAGCTCTCTGCCCGAGTCCAGCCTGGATGAAAAGGACTCTGCCCTTTTGCCCTGTTTTCAGGGATGGGGAGCTGCTGGGTCTTAAGTGGGAGGACCTCTTAGGCAGGGGGTGCCATCTCCTGCCCCCAGGAGGGTTCTAGGAACACTGGCAAGAAGAGTAGGGTGTGTCAGGAAACACTGTCATACGCAGGCAGAGGACTTGCTTCCTAGATTATTTGCACGTGTGTTTCATGTCTCCTAGATGTAAGCTCTGTGAGAGCAGGGGTCCCCGTTAGATGTCTTAGTATGTGTTCCCCCAGCTTCAGATCCTGAGACAAAGAGTTGAGTGCATTCCTTTACTTGGGAGGTTGAGAGGAGAGTGGGGAAGTAGGACTTGGAAGGGAAGGCACCTCCCCCAAAGGGGTGTCATGAAGATTGTTACTGGAGGTGACAGGAGCCAGTCCTCAGAGTCACCTGCTCAGGGGCTGAGGGAGTAGGGGGGTTTATGCACCAACCCCTTGCAGTCCCCAGATGAGAGCTGATGGGGACGGGTAACTGCTTAGGTGGTGTCAAAGCAAGGGAGCGCCGGGTGTCCGCCGTGGCAGTTGGCCGTGTGGGCATGGATGGGACCAGGGGGTACACGTGGGCACAGCAGCCTACGATACGGTAGATGTGTGCCCAGGACGGATGCTTGCCATTCGTATGGGGTGGTGAACTTGGGAGAAGTGGGGCTGGGTCCCTCAACACTCCTTACGTGTTGCTCTCAGTTCTTCACCCAGAGAGGCTCCAGGAGAGCCAGTGGTTCACGCCCTGGGAGCCGTGTGCCAGGACTGGGCGGCGTCCTTCCCGTGTCCAGCCACAGCCCGTGTCTTCCCCCTTCCTCTGACTCGGCTCTCCCGCTCTCCTCCCAGGTGTAAGGAGCTGAAGTACGCCAAGGAGCTGCCGCAGATATCCATCATATTCATCTTTGTGAACGAGGCCCTGTCGGTGATCCTGCGGTCGGTCCACAGCGCTGTCAACCACACGCCGACGCACCTGCTGAAGGAAATCATCCTGGTGGACGACAACAGTGACGAAGGTATGGGGTGCCGGCCGCCCGTGTTCCTTGGCGAGGAAGATGTAACTTCCCAGTATCTGCAGGGGGGAGGCCACTTCATTCCCGTGTGAGCCCAGGCGTCTTTGGCCTGTTCCTGGGGCACATCTGGGGAACGCGAGGTGTTTTGGAGGAAGACGTCTAGGCAAACACTGGTTCATGAGTCCATGCGCCACCTGGGGCTCTGAGAATAAATGACTGGTTATGTATCTAGACTAATTTTAACTTTCCCTCCTGCTGTTACTAAAGGAGATGACATCTAAGGGCTGAATTCCTCCGGGCTCCCCACCCCTAGCCCCATCTCTGTGGGCCTTTTCTGGAAGGCAGAAGAACAAGGGGAATTCTGTCCGGTGATGGGGACTGTCATCTGACCTCGGAACTCCCCTCGGGGCCGCTGTGCCCACACGGCCGTCGGAAGGAGGAGTGTTACAGGCCTTTGGGTTCAGCTCTGTCAGGAAAGAGGGCTCAGTTTAAAAACATAAAACAAGCAAATAGTGGACGGCAGTAGCAAAACCCCTTTGAAGTCCTTGCAGACAAAGGCCTAGTGTCGAGGTGGTGGAGGGGGTTGGTTTGGCTAATTGTGCCTTTGTGTTGGCTCATAGCCTGCAGAATCCATGGTGCCCACAGCAGGGAGAAACCCCCACAAGCTAATGACAGAAAAGAGAGCCAACCAGGTGCATGCTTCAGGCCACGGAGGTTTATCTTCCGAGCACCTGCGGGATTAAGGGGCAGGCGACAGCCCTTGCTCTCGGCATGCTGAGTACGGAGGCTCATCCTGTGTGCTCCTGGTCAGGAGAGGGGAGGAGGTGGCAGGCCAGCCACAGGCCCTCCTTGAAACCCCATTATCTTCAGGAGCTCAGGGGTGACCCGATCACATTTCACTGGCCGACAGCTGAAGTCCCCCTGCCCCTTCTGAACCCACAGTGCAGTTACCCGCGGAGGCCTTGAGCGCGCCTGGACTCGGCAATGTGCCCCTCGGGGCACTGCCCTCTCGGGGCCTCCAGATGTGGAGGACAGATGGGTCATTTGCTGAATTTTTCACATCCCCATTTTTCTCCCTTGACCTCTGGCCATTTCATTATCTATAGATTCCTCTAAAACTAACATTGAGAGTCTTTTTGCGAGAAGGAGGTAGTTTTAGTTCCTCAAAGCCTCTGTCTGCCTGGCACACAGTGCCCCTCTCTGTGTGCCCAGGGCACCTCCCTGCAGGGAGTCCCTGCTACTACCCACCCCCTCACTTGCTGGCTAAGTCCCATCGCTCCCCAGGTTTCCCATGCGTGTCACATCCTCAAAGCCTTTGCTGACATCCAAAGGCTCTGCTCTGTGCTGCCGCGCACCCTCCACCCTCCCGGAGCACATGAAGGCGCCGTGGCTTGTCCACCTGCGCTCCGGGTTCCGGGCAGGACTCTGCTCCACAGGGCCTGGCTGGTAGCTGGCCTTGGTGCCACTCAGAAGAGCTGGCAACCCCAGAGAAGAGGGAACTGCAAATGCTGGACTGAACTGGGGTGAGGACTCGCTTCCAGGGGGACTCCCTCTCCCAAGGAAATCGCTGCAGAGCCCGGCCAGAGAGGAAGGAACGGAGGGCCAAGCCGGTCTCAACCAAGCCAGCCTCACCCGGAACACGTGCTCTGCGAGAGCGGGGGTCTCCAATAGATGTCTTAGCCTGGTTCCCCGGATCCTGAGACAGAGTGGAGTGCATTCGTTTATTGTGGCAGTGGAGAGGGGAGGGGGAAGTAGGATTGGGAAGGGAAGGCACCCCTTAAAGGGGGTGTCATGCAGATTGCTACTGTGGGTGACAGCAACTTCACCCCAGGGGGACTCTGGGAACCAGTGAGAAACCTAGCCCTCAGAGCCAGCTGCTCAAGGGCTGAGGGAGCCAGAGTGTCTCTACATCTTCAGCATCAGATGCTTCTACGGGGAACCTTCTGTAGCTCCGCCCTGGAGAAAGTTCAGCTCCAGGAGGTCTGGGTGGGGCGGAGGGATTTTCCTTTCTCACCAACCCCTGGTGATTCTCCTGGTGCAGGGACCACACTGAGAACCACTGAGTGAAGTCAATGGTTCAGCTTCAGGTTTAATGAAGATGTTCAGTGGGTGAGAAAAAGCAAGAGGAGGTGTTTGGTCCATTCCGACCATAAACTTAATTTCCATTCATCCTTTCCTGTGCCCCCCAAATACCTAGGGCACCAGGAGTGGACTGTATTAATGCTATTTCTTTCATTTCTTTCTCTGGCTCTAGCCTCTATATTTTGTGTTTAATGTAACATTTTTTTTTCCTTTATTGAGATTTTCCGTGTGACTAGTATTACCGAGTTTTGTAAATGCTCTCTATACACTTACATAAAAGCCCCCACACTGTAATCATGGAATTGAATTCCTGTCAGACATCAATTATGTGTATTTAGATAGACTATGAGTTTGTCTTCTTAAGTCTTTTTGATAACGGTGTTTTAACATTACCTTCTCCAATGACTGTTTCTTCCCATGTTTTTAATAATGTTTGATTTCTGTATCTTGTCAGTTTCTTTGGCAACACAGATTTGTATCTGCATGGCTTCATTGTTAGTGGTGGTTGTTACCATTATGTTATGCTCCCTTTATCTTCAAAAATACCTTTTTTTCTTGCCTTGCATTTACTTGTCTGGCATTAATATTTTTTTATCCCTGCTTGCCTTCTGTTTTGAGTTTGATTAAAACATTCCCCCCCCCCCCGCTTTACCATGTTTCTGATCTTAAAAGTAATGCATGCTCTTTGTAGGAAAATTCGAGTGTATCAGAAAGCACATATAATTGGGGAAAAACATATCCTGCGAGAGCTGCTCATTTGCCCATGTTCTCACTCTCTTTTTAATGCACGTTTTACATAGTTACGACCCTGTAGTAAAAGGAAGTCAACGGTCTCGTTTTTCCTCTGAACTGCGAAGCACCACATTTCCCTTTTTAGCAAAAAAATAATAAAGCTCCGGGAACATCGTTTTAATGAGGGTAGAATGGTCTGCTGTCAGGCTGGTCAAGACTGAGCATGTGGGGGAGCGACAGCCCCCCGCTTCCACGTGTGATCACATCCATTCCAGATGAAAGGCTGGTTCAGAAGAAGGAGAAGGGCTGGCTCAGGGAATGTGTGAATGCAGCCAGGGGCCAAGATCTCTGTGCTCAGGTGAGACGGGATTGTCCCCTTATTAGCCTTTTTTTTTTTTTATCCTCATCCAAGGACATTTTTCCATTTTTTGTACAGACAGAGTGGGAGGGAGAGAGAGGAAGAGAGAGAGAGGGAAACATTGATGTGAAAGGGACACATCGAGTGGCTGCCACCCGCACGACCAACCAGGGCCAGGGACAAACTGCAACCGAGGTACATGCCCTTAGCGGGAACCGAACCCGGGTCTCTCCCGACCGCAGGCGGACGCTCTAACCGCTGAGCCAAACCAGCCAGGGCTTTTTTTAAGTAATTTGTTTTATTAAGCTTGAATATTGACATTGGCCTAACTTAAGCCCAAGTAAGGTGCAATATTTTGTAGTCCTTGTACATGAAACTGAAATCACTCAGGCAAACTCTGCCATTGATCACTGCTCACCAAGTCCATTGGGCGACTCCCTGCTCCAGTCGGGCCGCCTTGGACATGGTCCGGAGTCTCCTTCCGGCCTCCTTCTCTTCCCGAGCCCTGGCGCTACCCTCCTCCTCCTCAGCTCCAGCTTCCATTAGGATCTCAGCACTCATGAGCCTCACCATCAGGACACTGGGTGATCCTCCACTGTGCACGTTCTGATGGTCCTCAAATCCGTCCCTCCAGCCCAGGGCAACTCAGCCTCTCCCCCGAGTCCACACCTGTGTCCCCCATCTCCTTGATGGCTGCTCAGGTCCCCTCTGAAACCACGCGTGCACCTGGTCCAATGGATAACCTTCCGTTTTCCTCTCAGTCTCGGAAACCTTTCTCGTCCCTGATTTCCTGTCTCAGTGATGAACTTCACCTTCTTCTCAGTTGTCTCCATATCAGAGACTGGAAGTCTTCCCCCAGTCTTCCTCCTCCCTTTCCCAGCAGCATCGGTCCATTACTCTTGAGTGTGGTCCTACTTGGCCTTATCCCAAGCCACTGGCTTTTCCTTCAGGTCCTCAGCATTTTTTGCCTTGACATTTGTTTGAGGGGTTAAGGGTACACAGAATTATATCGATCATAATTCTTGACACTCCCCATAGCTTTTGTTGATTTTCCCTTATTTTAATTGAGATGCAATTCACTTAACATAAAATGCACCATCATAAAGTGTACCATTCAGTGGCTTTCAGTATACTCACCATGTTTGGCGACTGTTGCCACTAATTCCAGAATATTTTCCCAAAAGAAACCCTGAATCTCTTAGCAATCTCTCCCAGTTGCTCGGGCAACCATTCAAGTACGTTCTGTCTCCATGAATTTGCCTATCCTGGACCATCGGTATGAATAAAATTTACACTGTGTATCCTTTTGTGTATGGCTTCTTTCACTTACCATCATGTTTTCTGCGTTGATCCATGTTGTAGCATGTACCAGGACTTCATTCCTTTTTTACGGCTGAGCTACAGTTAGTTGTGTGGACATGGAACATCTGACTTATCCATTCATCAGTTGATGGATATTTGGGCTGTTCCCACTTCTTGGCTATTGGGAATAATACTGCTATGAATATCCATATATACATTTATATGCGGACATGTTTTTAATTTTCTTAGGTATATATTTAGGCGTGAAATTGCTGGGCCATATAATAATTCTATGGTTAATTTTTTGAGAAACCATCAGATTGTTTTCCACAACCAGGCTGTTTTTCCCAGCACTGGAATCATTTTGCATTCCTACCAGCCATGTGTGAGGGTTCTCATTTGTCCACAGTCTCACCAACATTTATTTTCCCTCTTCCTTTAGTTATGGCCAACCTAGTGGGTGGTATCTTTGATTTATTTGTCCAATGACTAATTATTTTGAGCATCTTTTTTTCATCCTCACCTGAGG